ACTACGGTCACCAATGTGAACCTGCAGTGCTGAGAAATAATACAAGAAATTAAGTGTATTTGTAATCAAATTCTGTACCTTGTATCCCTCTGCTAGGCAACAAGAGAAATTAAACATCTATATTCAGATAATTTAACAGCACGTGACAAAAACTGGCTTTAAAATCCAATCCTAAGTAAACCCTGGCAACGGGAACGTAGTTCCTAAATTGGCCAACATTAACATTTGATACAAATATGTCAGCTATCAGAAAATTCCAGGAAGAATAAAAATAGCCTCTTAAAACACAGCTGTGTCCATAGCCTCTGTCCAAACACAGGATTACCAAATCAGTCTTAAAACAAGTCACATTTTAAGACTGGAATCAAAGGATTGTGTGATTGATGCCAACCCCCCACCCCAGCTCACGGGCCAGGGGGAGCAGCAGCTCCATCAGCTGGGAACTAAAACTCTCCTTGTGCTGCCAATAACACAATTAATTACTCAGTTAATGCATCACTGATTCCTGCACACATCTGATAACACGTGGGATTGTAGCTGAGAGCTGCAGCCACAAAGCACAACAAAGTCTGGACATAGTTTATTCAGGAAAAACGGGAATGCTCCTCCCTGGAGATTACCAAGGCTGCTCTGGCCAGCTGATCGTTTTACTGGTGTTACTGGAAAAACAAACTACAAAGTGAGTATTGTTTGTTTTGCAGACTTGATAGGAAATCCAATTCTGAGATTTTTCTCACCCAAATATTTTCTCACAGAGCTCTCTACAGCATAAATATTTCCATGGTTACTCATATCCAGAAGATCCTGCGCTGCTGCAAAACATACCCAGACCAGATTCAAGAAATCCCCACTAAACTCCAGTGGATATAATGCACTAATTCAGGCTTCCTAAGGGCTGCTGAACTTCTCCAGTGGGAACCCTCACAAGGAAATGATTAAAATCAACATGAAGTTATGTTTGAATAACTAAATGTGCATTTTCTGAACAGGACAGGAATGTGCCAGAGCTGGGAAAGCTATAAATGTAGCATTAACAGATGCTTTCGTTTAGTTTTTTCTTCGTTTTCTGACACACAATAATAAATATGAAGGAACTTACTGCTGATTGTCAACAGTGAAGCCCAGTTTTCTCCATGACTAGCAAAAGTTTGAGCTTTCATTTTTATAATCCAGCTATTCCTGGCTGAACTTTACTGGTGTCAACTTCACATCCATTGGGATTTCTTCCCTTCCTACCTGCACATCAAGTACTTCAGAACTTCTTACCTCACTCCTCTGAGCAGTTTGCAATCACTTAGATAATAAAAGCACATGACCTTCATTTGTATGGAAATACTGCAGTTCCACACAGAGGATCTGAACCCCCACTGGACAAATGTTGCCTAATTAATTACAAAATAGATACACCAAGAGGAAAGGCATTTAAAAAAAATGGAATACTTGAGACAAAAATAAAAGGAGCTAGAAGTCCCCTGAACACCTGCAAAGTGTAACAGAGAAGGACAGTTATTTCATTACATATAAAGAAGCTCAGTGTTAGAATATTTTTAATATTTCTAGTATATTGTGGCTGTGACTGTACATGTATTCTGAGTTTAACTACACAAAAAGGAAGTATGTCAAGAACAATAGGTGACTACTAAACAGAATAAAAACATCTTACTTATCCCAGAAGTCTCTCTTCTTGTTACTTTGTCTCTGCTCTCAAGGAAGCCACGTGATACATTTAACAGTTACTTCCACTGCTGTTCATATAGAGACCTGTAATATATAGACATCCTATATTTGCCTTTTCCTACTGAGTGCCAAATGTATGGAAGACTTTAGGCAAAATTTCTGTATATTCTGCAACTGATACATCAAAGGCATCTTAAAATATATTTTTTTAAATCTATTTACAGCCATCACCTAAGCTCAAGGATTATACATGACCAGTGCCATGCTTAGAGTGCCTTAATGCTTTTGTTTTGTTTTTAAATTAAGAAGCCTTTAATTTGCATAAATGCATATCCCCAGGCAACTCTCCTGTGCTGCACCTACAGGAGCAGCTGCAAGACCTTTGGCATTAACAAAGCACAGATAACACAAATACTGCAGCTTTCAACCTAAAAAAAAATGAAATACTTCTACCTCACAGAATGTCTGCTTACAGAGAGATTAAATACTAAAATGACCACGATCTTATAAAGTGTTAACTTTGTGCAGTTAGCAGAGCAGCCCATGATAAAATGGTTCACCACAGAGAAGTCCACTGCTCATTTCTTCCACTCACTTCCACAGTTTCCCTATAAGGGATTGCACAGCGGGATGGGGCACAGCTACAAAGATCCAGCACAGCCAAGCTGGCCTGAAGTCTCAGAGTTGGTTAACACTGACATTCAGGATGAAATATTTCAGTATCATGGCATAACTCTGAGTCCTGAAGTTCATATTCCAATGAAAAAATATTTAAACCAAAATAAGACCTGTTTTCTGGCTTGCCAAAAGCACAGAGTTTTCATTCCATGACACCAGACATCATTTCCGAGCCACGTGAGAACATTTACACTGTGCTGAGCTGCCCACTGGGCATTCTTAGGTGCTTAAAATACCATAAAAGAACAAGTCACCCCTCCTGCTCTCTGGCTATAGAAAAATAAAGTCCTTCTGCTCTCAACAGCTCCATGGGGAAGTGCCATGAACCTCCTAAAGGTGCCAGCTGTAATGGATACATCCAGGTGGGCAGGGTTTTTCTGCTAGAAATCAGAAACAAGACTGATTAGTTTTGTTACAAACTGTTATTTATTGAATGGCACTAGACTCAATACACAGATACAAATCCTGCCTCAGAAAAGCTCACAATCTAAGCCAGGATTTGGCAAACACATTCCCCAGGGAGATCTGAGGTTCACATTCAAAGTGAATTTTGCAAGTTCTGTTAAACATTTGGGTTAGATTCAACAGCTTCTAAATCACAGTATCAATCACAGAATGGTTTGGGTTGGAAGGGACCTCAAAGACCATCCTGTTCCAACCCTCCTGCCATGGGCAGGGACACCTTCCACTAGCCCAGGTTGCTCCAAACCCCGTCCAACCTGGCCTTGAACACTTCCAGGGATGGGGCAGGCACAGCTTCTCTGGGCAACCTGTGCCAGGGCCTCACCACCCTCACAGGGAAGAATTTCTTCCCCATATCCCATCTAACCCTGCCCTCTGGCAGTTTGAGTCCATTCCCCCTTGTCCTGTCACTCCAGGCCCTTCTGAAGAGTCAAGAACTCTTCAGTTTACCCTCTGCATGAAGCAGAACTCCAGCACAGAGTCAAAGTTACCTCAGCACTAAATACCTCAAACTTTTAAACATTTTGTATAGACCCTCAAGCACCTCTATATTTAGAACTCAGATCCCAACACCAGAACTCCAGAGCTTTCCCCCACAGTCAATTCTAAACACGCTTCATGTGCTTTAAGCCTTATTAAACCTTCAGAGCCTTACCTGTACCACACACCACTGCTCACTGCCCTCCCTGTGCTTGCTGCATTCCAAAGCATCAGATTTCATTAAAAATAATAAAAAACAAAAAAGCCACCTTCAAAGCAGAACTCATATAGAAACCACAACAGAACTAACAAACTACTTCTGCCAAATCAGCATAAAAATGAAGTCCTTCCACTGTTGCTCCAGATAACCCTAAGGGACGTCTTGTAGCTCAGAGCGAGCCCTGTCAAACAGACGCCCATGATTCTGGAATAAAGATTATGGATCCATTACTTTGGAGTAAAAATTATGGATTTATTAATTTGGAATAAAAATTATCGATCTGCATTACCAAGAGCCACGGAGCAAATTCTATATAATGAAACAAAACGTGAAACTAACGTTAAAAATATCATTTTATTATAGGCTTCAGTCAGTAATTCCTATTTATTCGGGTCAAAGCTGGTCACTTAAGACCAAACTCTCTCAGCGGACCCCGAGTGGTGCAGGGATCCTGCAGGGTCAGGCTACACTTCTAGAGCCCATCCCGGGCCAGACAAGCTTACAATCCCCACATACACCGCTCAGAGAAGCGCTCAGCCCGCTCCACACTGCTCATCCCTGTCCTGGCTCCGTCTTCCTGTGGCGGGAAGGGGGAAATCCACCGTGCGGCCGGAGCCGCTGGATCCCCTCCCCACCCACGTCACGGGAGGGTTTGAGCGGCGGTGGAGCTGCGTCCTCCCCCGCGGGCCGGCAGCCCCTACCTGCACCGCGGGCGTGTCCCCGCGGGGCGCTCGGGCGGCCTCGGCAGCCCCGCGCCCTCACGGCGGGCGGTCCCGGCGCCTCCATGGCGGCCGCTCCACTTCCGCCTCCGGCCGGGCCCGCGCTGCGCCATCGCCGCCGACGACAGCGGGGCGGCCGCCGCCGACACCCAGCGGCCGGGAAGAGACGCGACACCACCTCCGCGGAGCTCGGGATGGGCGTCTTGGCAGATCCGAAGGATCCCACGGGCGCTCCCGGCACACCGCTCCCGCTCCTCCCTCCCTTTCCCGCGGCCTAAAATGGGAAAGAGCCGCGCACAAAATGGCGCCGGGGCCACCGCCGCGCGTGCGCGCCGCGCGCGCCGGCCCCGCCCCCCGGCGCCCTCCTCCCTCCTCGTCTCCCCTCTCCCCCCGCCCTCCCGCTCGTTCCGCCCCGAGCCAATCGCGCCGCGCCGTTGCCCTTCCGGTCCCCGCCGCCGGCCAATCGGGCGCGCCGGGGGCTGGCGGCGCTGCCCAATGGGGGCGCTGTCCGCGGCTGCCCAATGGCGCGCTCGGGGCCGCCGCTGGCGGGGAGGGGGAAGGGAGGCGGCGGCCAATGGGAGCGGCCGCGCGCCCGCCGCTTGTTTATTGGGGCTCGCGCTGCGGCGCGGGGCGTGTCCGCGCGCGCGGGGCTCGCGCGGGGGGGGGGGCGGGGGGGGGGGGGGGGGCCGGGAGGGGCGGGGGGGGGGCGGAGCGGAGCGGGGGCCGCGCTCAGCCGGGGCCGCCGCCGACTGCGGAGGGGCCCGGGCGGCGCGGGGGCTGCCGAGTCCACAGGTAGGAAGAGGACGGGTGAGCAGCAGGAGGAGGGAAGGGAGGAGGAGGTGGCAGTGTTGGTGTTGGCGGAGGCGGCGGCGGAGTTGCGGCTGCCGCCGTCCCGGGGGAGGGGACGCGGAGCTGCTCCGGGAGCTGCGCTTTAAACCCCCCTCCCCCCCCCGCCCGCCGCCCTCAGCGAGCTCGCGGGCGCGCGCGCCGCCCCCTCACGCACCGGGACCCCCCCTTGGGACCGGGACCCCCCAACTCTGCCCCGATATTCCCGCGACCCCCCCGCGCGGTGCTCCCCGGGCCGGGGGCTGCGGCGGGAGGCTGAAGTCCGGGAGGAGAAGGAGGAGGAAAAAGAGGAGGAAGAGGAGAAGGGGGCCCGGCGGGGCCGCGGAAAGTTGCGAGGGGCCGGAGCAGGAGCGGGAGCGGCGGCGGCCCCGGCAGCCCCCGAGCCCCGCGGAGCAAATGGCGCCGTGACACAGGCACGGGGCGCGGGGCCGCCCGGCGGGAAGCGGCGGCCGCGCTCCCTCGGCGCGGCCGGGACGGGCGGCGGCTCCTTCCCCCCGGCCCTCCCTCCGCCTCCCTCCCTCCGCCTCCCCCGGGCTCCCCCCGCCGCCCCTCACGGACGCTCAGCCCTCAGACCTCCCCCGCTCGTGTTTTTTTGCAGTGTTTGTGCCGTGCGAGGAGAAGTCCCGGAGCTGGAATCCCTCACATAACCCTCGAAGATGAAGGTAGGCGGCTCCGGCGGGAGCGGGGATCGCCGCCCTGTTCGCCCACTGCGCTGGAGGTTTCATTTTTAATCGCTTCTCAGTCTCCTCACGGTGGGATAACGCGGGTTTCGGTGTGTGCCGTGAGCGCTGTTCCTGCTCCCCGGCGAGGGGCAGGTGAATCGGAGCTCTCACGGCCGTGCAGGAGCGCTCGGAACATCCCCGTCGCCTCGGAGTTGTTGTTGTTGTCCTTTGGGCTCCCGTCTTTAAACGCTTCCTGTATCAGCAGCTGCTATGGCAAGTTTGCAAAACCACAGCTTTTGTCCCGCCTTTGCTTCTGCCGGTTTGCTCAGTACAAAGGCTCAACAATTGCAGTATAATTTACTAAAGAGAGAGAAACTTTTTTCATTTGCCTTCAGAGTTGAAGAAATAATATCAAGTTGAAAAGAAATCCTGCACATAAAGCCAGTTGTTTTGGATTCTGTGCTGATTTCCTGTCATGTTCAACGTGGTAATTTTGTCCTTGTTTATCAGCTGCAATGAGCAGTGAAGTGAAATGTATTAAGGTATTAAAATCCAGATTAAGGAAAACGTGATGACAAATATTTCTCTTTAAAAACTCATGAGTAATTAAGGTTTGATAAAGGCATTCCAGGAAAGAAAAATACTGGTTTAATAGCTGTTTGAAAGATTGCAACAGATTTCTCTAGAGGTCTCCTTTTAGTCACCAGGAAAGAAATCCTATATATAGAATGTTTTAGACTTAATTGGAAGTATTGGGATGACACCAATCTCAAACATTTTAAATAATCTGTGTCATTGGATTGCTTATAGCTGGAAAAAGTACAACTGGAAAAAGTACAGTCTGTTATACTGGGGTTATTTGGAGTGGGAATTGTTTTGTTTTGTATAGAAATTACTTGAATTAATAGTCCTTCATTAGCTTTTTTACAAGGAGATGTTCCAAATAGCAGTTCAATACCTTCAAGGATATTTCTGTGAGAGGCTGACAATGAAAATGAAGGAGGGGAGGTGTCAAGAACAGCGATAAAACTTCCTGTAACTTGCTTGTTGGTTTTTGATTTTCCTTGTTGAAGAACTCTGTGATGTCAGTTCCCAGTCCAAACAGTGTTTATCAATTAAAAGCCAACAAGTCCAAAAGTTTAGATGCAGGATTAAATATATAAATGATGCGGATAAAAATATAAACCAGGGCTAAACTTTGTTGCTGTGTTTTGTGTCTCTGCAGGCAGCAGATGAGCCTGCCTACCTGACAGTGGGGACTGATGTCAGTGCCAAGTACCGCGGTGCCTTCTGCGAGGCCAAGATTAAGACGGTGAAAAGGCTCGTGAAAGTCAAGGTAGTTCGCTGTGATTGCTGCTGATTTCCTTAAAGCCTTGTGCTGGAAGGGCTGTCAGAGAAGATCCCAGTCCTGAAGATTAGGAAACGTTCATCAGCTCACTGTGTGAATTTTAAGCAACACTTGCATGGGGTTTTTTTTGTGTTCTGCTGTTGGGTTTGGGGCGATTTTCGTTTGTTCTTTTTTGCTTTATTTTGGGGGGAATCTTGTTTTTTTATTATTAGTAGATGCTGGTACAAAAATGAGCTTTCCTGCTTCTTCTTTCCTGACTGTGTTTGTCTTGTTTTTGAATGCATGAGTTTCCCAGCAGTAAGTTTTGATGTCACAAATAGAGGATTATGGCTTTACATGACTAATAAGGAATAAGAGCAAACTCTTCTAAAGCAAAAGTTCCATTTCATTCCAACTGACACTTTCAGTCTTATAGCTTGGAACTTAAAAGGCAATGCCAAAATAAATCAACAGCACAAGAGACGACTAACTAGTTTCTTAGACCAGGTTATAGCAATGTCAGAGGTAATGTTTTTTAAGTTTTGAGCATCTTGCTGCTGCTTCTAAAGCAGCTTGCCCTGGCTGGAGCTGAGTTTCTGTGCATGGATAGTAGTGGCAACTAATACTCATTCGTAAGTTTGGCTTTTGCCAAAAAAAGAATGAAATCAAAAAAGAAAGTTGTCAATTTGCTGTTGCAGTGCTGTTGTAAATGCCACTATGGGAAAACAAGAGTAAAACGTAGTTAAATGCAAGTGAAGAATTCAAAGTAAATATAGAAATTGTTCTGCTTTGTTTTGTCAAAGTCTTCCCACTTCCTACTTTAGTGTCTACTGTCCAAGATATGTAAATAAGGCATTAGTGACCCAAACCCCCATAACAAATTGAGATGAAAGCTGCTTTTTATAGCTACACATCCAAGTTTTCCCTGTGCTTTAATGCTTAAGTCAAGTAGAACAAGCCATCAGCCTCTTCAGTTACAAGTATAGATCATATCACTTTATCAGAGTGCTTTTCATCAATAAAAAAACCCCCTAATTCAGATATTGGAGTCTTTTCCCTGTTCTTAATGAGTACTTGGAGAAACTTGTGTTCTTTGAAATCTGTGTTAATGAGAAGCTCTGTAGGGAGCACCGTGCTGGTCTGACAACCTTGATTTTGTGTCTGTATCTTTGGTCTGGTGGAGTATTTAGACTGTTAATAGGTAGGAGTTTCTTCTTCTCATTAGAATCAGATGCTTTATTACTCCATGATAAGATTTGGAAGTGTATGAGGCTGCTGTGACTTGGTGGAAATTCCTGTCGCTGTATCTCAGTTACAACAATAGAAGTTTTAACAAGCTGAGCCTGATACTGTAATTAAGAGTGTGTAGGCACACCCTGCACGCCTGCCAAGAGTGCAGGGAGGCCAAAAAGTCCTGTAGCCTTTTCCTGAGTAGCAGGACAACCTGTATTCATCTCCATGCCATTTTTATTTAAAACTGTATATCAGCATAAAGTGCATTATTGACCTGAACGTGTGTTAATATCGATGCTCTCTTGGCGGCACTGGTGGTGTGTTTATAAACACAGGTACAGTGGAGTCTGTGCTTGGGGGAATATTGGGGGAGACAGAAAACTGGACATCTTTATGGGTGGAAAGGAAGCTCATGGAACTTTTGGTTCTTCTAAAAATAGGAATTTTGGATTTTTTCTTTTATTAAATTGCATAGGCTTATGTTCACTCTGTCTTACCACTGTTGCCTTCTGGAACACAGGATTTTAAGGGGAAAACCGTAGCTTACTTACACTGTAACTGATCCTTATTTTCATTCACATCTTTGCTATAAAAACTTCCTCTTTTTCAAGGCAGCAGGAATGCTGGTATTGCAATCAGTTTGGTGATTTGTTGATACATATTTAGTAAAGAGGGGTTTTATTTTGGTTGTAGTTTAGTACTCAGTGTGATGTCAGTAAAGTTCTACAGCTGAAGTAGAGAGAGGGGAAAAAACCACCTGCTTAATCTTCTCATCTGGAAGTCAAATTCCAGGTATACCCTGGATTATGTCAATATCTAAACTTGTATCTAAAAATGTATTTCCTTTGCTTTGGAATGACCAATGTTTGATTTGGTCTGTTCTTTTAATTGTGATGTTTCAGAATAAATATTGTGTGATACTTTGGATTTCCTGTCAGTAAAATAGTCCATGCCAAGTGTTTCCCGTTCAATAATGTTTGAGTCCAGTTGATTGATAATCATAATTTGGAAAATTAGATCTTTATTATTACAAATACATTTTCAAATGCTTTCTGTATGCTATTAAGAAATCAGATGCATATTACAAAGTTGATTAATGTCTTTCAGGTGGTCTTGAAGGGGGACAACTCAACTCAGTTAGTGCAAGATGACCAAGTGAAAGGACCTCTAAGAGTATGTATAATAATTGCATGGCTTCTTTTGGTAATCACATCATTGATTTGTTATTTTGATGCTGATTAGGTGGGTAGCTCTTCTCCAGGATTGAAATCAGCAGAAGGAGCCTCATCCCTTTACATCAGATGGATTCTGAGGAATTAGTCTTAATTGTTGTAGCTTTATGGGCTATTTATGCTTATCTGTGTCATGCACTTGATAAACAGTCTTGCCTGAAGTGATTTTTGTGTCTTATAAGATACAAAACTTTTTATAAATAATGAAACTTTGGAACTTATTAGAAGTAATGGAGAACTTGAGAGCAAAGTCAAGTTCAAGCCCGTTAGACAAGAGTAAATACAATTACTTAGTGTTTTAGAATAGTGGACATATTTTATATGAAAATGTGTTTATTTGTACTTTTATGCTATGTAACAGTTGTGTGCTAAAATACAGAGCTGTGTTATAAACATGGAATGCAAACTGAACTCTTCAGAGAAGATCATCTTTCTTATATTTGTCTTTTCTCTGTAGCTCCTGCAAGAACCACCAGTGTGTTCTGATCTAGCCCACAGCATAGCATTGTTTTTAAAGTATAAAAAATAATAGTAATTGCATGCTTATCAGTAATAAAATTAATTACTTTGAATGTTTGTTTTCAATTAGCCTCCTGTTACTTCTTATGATGATGTAAGTCATGGGCAAATGAGATGGTCTGAGTTTCTTACTGCTTTAGTGTCTACTTGCAGTTCAGCCTTAGTACTTCTGTTCTTACCTTCTGAGTGACTAAACTTTGAGAGTGGCAGTTAGCTAAAATGAGTGTTTTTAACCAGTAAATCTTTCCTGCATGGTGATTTTAGGCTCACAGGTAACCTTGAGCTGCTCCTTTTTGCAGGTTGGTGCAATGGTTGAAACCAAAATGCCCGATGGATCCTTCCAGGAAGCCGTGATCAGCAAGCTGACGGATGCGAGCTGGTACACTGTGGGTGAGTAGCCACATGTCTCATCTATTGCCTGTAATCTTTGAACAATACATTCCTAATTACAGGTAACAATGTGAGGAATTACTTCCTGTATTGTGAGACCTGAGATAGTTTTTGGAGGGGACTTTTTAAAGTCATCCACTGATTCCTTTTTTCCATTTAAAATAGGATAATAATTGTTCGATGTTCAGGGAGTCAGTTGCACAGGTAATTGTAGGGCTGAATAATCACATTTTATTTGACACAATGTACTTACACTGGTAGCAGTTGCACTCACTGAAATTCAGAACAATATTTGCAGATTTTAAGGCATAAATCTTGTAATTCTTTTTCTAGCTGAAAACCTGTGGCATGTAGTGAGTGACTGAAATAGGAGCCTTCTTTCCATGTGTGCAGTCTTGTGACAGGAAAAACATGGGTAGTACCAAGAGAAGAGAGAATCTGTTTTTTTTAAAGAAAAGAATTGACATATCACACTTTAAAAAGAAAAGAGGAGACATTTGTTTGTATGACTATTTGCTTTAATGTAATTTTCAAATAATTATTATCTCTCAAGTGAAATGGAAAAATACTTTGCTTCTTGTGCTGGAGACTCACGTGCTGTTCAGTTACTGGAATAAAAAGCTCAGAATGCAGGGTCAGAGACATGTCAGTGTTGAATGAGAATTCATTGCAACATAAATTTCCTTATTTTGAATAATTCTTATCTCCAGGTTTTTCTGAAACAGCTTTAATAGCAGAATGACGAAATCCAACAAGAATCAAATAATAGTGAATAGTCAAATAAAAAAGGACAGTCTCTGAATTACAGAGATTTGCAGGCACCCGTCCATTTTTTGCACAACTTTCTTACAGCAGTGGAGCCTTATATTCACTAATAGTAGCATAGAAGGAACATGCTCCTGTTAATTGTCCTGTACATGCTGCTCTTGGGCATTGCTTTTGAGATTAGTACTTGTAAATTTAAACTGTGTGTTTCTCATTGGCTGCCTTGTGTACCAAATGTATTCAGCTTTACCTCATATCCTTCCATCCTCTCTTGAGGAGTCTTCAATCCCATGAACTTTTAAATACTTTGGTTCATTAACCCCTTGTTTAAGATTTAAAGAAGCTATTTTCGGTAATCAGTGTTCCCATTGCAGTAGGTGAGGTTATTCCATCTTTGGTGGGAGCAGGATAAGGCTCTGCAGATAGTTTGGAAAGAATTTATCACTGTGTGATTATTATTGTTAGTGTGTGCTTTAACTCTGAGCTGGTTGACAAAGCTCACTGCTCTTTGCCTTTTTCTTCAGGATTATAACATTGCTGTGAAACTGTAGTGTATGTCAGGTCAGGGAGGAAAGGCAGGATTATTTTGGAGTGCAGAAGATTTAAAATCTGCTTAGTTTAGTACTGTGATGTGACACATTTGAGGAACAACACCTGACCTTTAGCTTGCCTTTATGTCTTTTTTGAGGTGCACCATTCTGTTACAGAAGCAACAAGAAAAAACACAGTCTTGCACTAATAGTTTCATGGTTTATGAATTAGCATTTTCATTTTAAAACTCCTAACTTATTTCAGTTTTAAAGTAGCATTTTTTAGCTAATTCTGTTTGAATTTGGACCAGAGGACATATTTGTCTTACTGCATTTGTCATGTGAACTTTAAATCCCCTGATCAGGGGATGAGTTTTGTCTGGTTTTCCTTGTTTATTTCTTTTTTATTTTCTTTTTTTTTCCCTTTTCTTTTGAGCAGTGCACTTCTGCCAAAAATCTTTACTTGATGAGCAGGAAATTTGAGCAGTGAATTAAGTGTTCTGTCCTGTATTAGTAGGTTGTTGTTTAGATTTAACAAGTTGTTGAACTGTCCCCAGTAATATAAGAGATAAATCATGCATGCCGTGATTTTTACATTTTTTTAAAGTCCAGTGTCTAAGAAACTTGAACCAAAGGATTGTCATTGTCTTTCCCCCCAAAAAAAATTTTTTGATAGGCAGAATGGGAGTGTAAAATGTTTTCCATATACAAATGTTTTAAGACTGGTAGGATTCTGTAAAAATCTGGAGCTCAGGGGAGGGATTAAGTAATTTTATGGTAAGTGAACATACAGTGCTGTGATATGGCACTGTGACTGTGAAAATAGAGCTGTAACACACTGGATTTAGATCTTAGGAACATTTTTGTGAGTTGTTTGCGGGGAGTTGCTTGTTGGTGTTGAAAGCACAGGTAACACTGACCAGAGTAAGCAGATCATCGAGTTTGTGTCATGGTTATTTTGCAGTTAAAATTGGGGAAGTGTTTCAGGTTGAGGTGTGATGAATAAGCCTTATCTTTTGCCTGCTGCCTCCATTGTGTCTTTGTAGAAAGTTTTGGATGGATTTGAGGTGTGTATTTAGGCTGCTGTGAAGCAACAGTTGAGCTGGTTCCTTTTTAATAGAAGGTGGGTGCTCTGCTGCAGTCTCACTGATTCAGTCACAGCTGAAGAGTTGAGAGGGAAGTGGATTGGACAGATTTCAGGTTTATAGAATATCTTCCTAAATGTTTTGAGATGGAAATCTTGTGTTTCAGTAGTTTGTGCTTTCCCTGTGGTACTTATTTTCTGTATTATCTCACATCTCTTTCTCAGTGATCTCAAAGTAGACTGATGCAGTGAAACCAGTCATATATACAGACATTTTCAAAGTATTAAGTACAGATACTTAAAAAATGCACCAGAACAAAGTGCCTGCACATCTAATGAGAGGTGATGATGTTCACTTTTGCATATCAGGTTCTCTGTTTCATGTAGGGGTCTAAAGAAGAAGAAAAGTTGCCTGAAACGATTTTGCTTTGGTCAATAAGTTGAGCCAGTAGAAATGCTGAGTTTGCAGTAAAAGGCTGCTTTGCCACCACCATAATGCAAGAGCCACAGTGATTATCAGTTTGTCTATTTTAACAGTATCTCCTGTCTATTAATGGTGTTCATGTACCCAGAACAAATAAGGGTTTATTTTTATTGTAACTCCCACGGAATCACTTTTTCACTTTTTATATGATGATGATGTTAATGTGGCCATTTAGTCATACTGAATTTTTCAGCTGTGGTTTGGATACACTTTTGAAATTACCTTTGAAATTCAGCTTTTCAATATAAGCAGGTGAAGAATCAAAAGCTTTTTGGACTGGAAGTTTAAAATGCCATTGCACAAGGCAACCCTCTCCAATCCAAATCCAAAGTGGAGTGACAGTAATAGGAGTTTATATTCTTTGGTTAACAAATGGCTCAGTTGGACTTGCTGATCTTAGAGTTCTTTTCCAACCTAAATGCTTCTATGATGTTTTAATCTTTAAAATGCAGTTACTTAAACTGAACTTTTACAAATTTTGAAGTGCTGCATTGATGCTTTTGAAGTGCTGAATACATTGTTAGGTGATAATTGCATAGAATTAAAATGGTCTGTCAAATCTGCTTTCAGCTTAGCAAGGTTTGAATTATGGCTCTCTGAGAGCACCATCCTCATGATTCTCTGTTAGCTTGTAAAATGCTTTGGGTAAATGCTGAAATAATGTCTGAAATGACAGTTGTATTTTCCTTCCCTCATACTCTGGAGTCTTACAAGCATTACCAGAATTTCTGAAAACAGAAATCCTTGTATAGATGTTCCTTAAGGAAACACTTTTGTATCACTTCTGCACAGAACCAGAAGTGATGTAATGCCTGTATAAAAGTGAGAAATAGTGTTTGAACAAGGGTCTGAGACTTGCTGTTACTGTGGCCTGGTTTTTGCTGCCCCATTGACATCAAAGTGTCATCTCTTTTTTGACAAGACTCAGGTTGATAATCTGGATGTGCTTAGGTCTCCTTTACCATATTTCCAGCTTTGAACAAAAGAAAAAAACAGATGAAATACATTGAGTCTTCTGTTTTGCTAGTTAAATAATGGAAAGATTTTTGTAAAGAGAGAAGGAGAAAAAACGTTAACTTTCAGTAATTTTCCTCTGAAAAGAGTAAGAAATAGGGGAAAAAAACAAAACAGTGAGAGGCATTTACAGTTTCTGATGGACGTTGCTGTCAGCATTAGGCTTCATATACAGTTTAGAGTGAAAAGGGATATGATTCATTATTTTTTTAGACTTGAGACTTTCAGACACACTTTTGAGGCACCTCTGTGAGCCCAGTACCTCTGCTGGGAACTTCCTCCTCTGATGTAGTCACTGTGGCAGTTTCCAGGGAATGCTGAGTGAGTGTGTGCTGAGAGGAGTTAAATTAACCCAGTGCTTGTTCTTGTGGAAGTGAAGTTTTGGGAAGTCTGCTTGAGTTGTTCTGGGAATGAAGTAAAGTCTCAGTTGCGTCACTTTGTGTCGCTGTGTTTAGGAGAGCAGGTGACAGAAATTAAAGGCTCTGAGTGTTTGGTCCTGACCTTCATGTTATGTGGATTCTGGTATTTCCAGTTTGTGATTCTAAGCATATTTATCAGCAAATAAACCAACATGGATGTCCTGGGACTTCAGGAGCAGGGTTGCTAACAGAAGCTATTTATAGTCCCATTTTCCTGTTTTTAAAAGAAGTTTTCCTCTTCTGATGCTCTGTGGAGATACTGAAAAATTGGCTTGGTTCTGGCTCCACCACATCTGTGAGCTCTGCCACATCTTATTCCTGCACAAAGGGCGATAAAAGCTCTCAGTGCCCCCTCAGTCACTTGAGTTCACCCACCCCAGAGGCCTGTTGGTTTGTTGTTGCAGCTCCTGGGCAGCAGAGGTTCCGTGGGGTGTGCAGGGCACTGCTCGTGTCTGTGGGTCTGGTCTGACCAGTTCCCAGCATCCTGTCGAGCTCCACGTCACAGTCACAGCAGCGTCACTGCACGTCCGGGCTGTGGGTGCGTCACCCGGGAATCCCAGACCACAAGTGTGGCAGGGGAACTGCCCAGTTGCCTCCTCTTAGCTGGTGTTTTCTACCACTCTGACCCACCCTAAATTTGTTCTTTTTGTCTTCAAAATGTTGCTTGAGTGGATTTTGAGGAAACCCTGTGTTTGCCTGAAGTC